CTTTCTAAGAAAGTGTTGATACCAATTTTGAATCTCCAATTTCATTCGATTTGTATCCATCGTTCTAGATCATCTACGATCTATTCGTCATACGGAGAAAAACAACGATGGAGAACAAATTTGTGGACGAACCTGATGCTATCCATCATGATGAAAGTTCCAGTCCAATCTATGGCTACCAAGACCAACGAATCATGACATTGGAAGAAGCTGTTCAAGGGATCACACATGTTGTTCGTAACGTCATTAATTACGTCACACAAGCAAAGCTACAATGCAGGAAAACGAGTATATTAACAGAAGATGAATCTGCAGCTATCTATCTCTACACTATGGATAGTTCATGTTTCTCGACACTAAACCGTTATCTTCGTGCTATGGATAGAGACGCACTAAGACCATGGTTTCTCTACTTGAAACTCTTCATTACCGCCCTCAATAAGCTACCTTCATTCAAGGGTATTGTGTGGCGCGGTGTATCGAACAGAATCAATTTTGAACCTGCTGATTATGCTATTCAAACTTGGTGGGCGATAACTTCTACTTCGAAAGAGCTCCATATTATCGAGCATTTTCTCGGTGAAACGGGTACCTTGTACGCTATTGAAACGATAAATGGCAAAGATGTTTCACAATATTCAGCTTTTCCTGACGAAAAGGAAGTTATTTTTATGCCAGGTACACGAATATATCTCACGAGTGAGCCACTTCAAGTCAACAATGGACCACTCATGCTTTCTTTCAAAGAATGGTGAGTGAATTGTTTTCACTTCACGATTAATTTTTCGCATAAGTAACGTTGAGTGCTATGAATCTTTGTCATTCATATCAGAGACATCAGCCTTTGAGAGAATCATCAATCGTTGACACAGATATATTGTTGACATTTATATCTTCTAGTACACGCATACCCCAAGGCAAACACGTCATGTTTTCCCATGATGCCAGTGATGAAACTATCATTTTACAAATACTTAAAGCTCTACGCGATCAATCGATTCCTATTTGGTTCGATAAGGACAGAAGAAGGAATGATAATATTTACGACAGGTATATGTGTTCGAATTATCATCATAAGACTGGCGGTACTAATATCATCTGTGTGTCTGTGTTTCAGTCTAGCAGTTGGAGTGGAAAATGCAGCATTCATTTGTTGTTTTGTCAGCCCAGAGTATGAAAAATCGGCTCGCTGTCAAATAGAACTACAGTATGCGAATAAGCTTCATAAGAAGATCATTCCGTGCCTGATCAGAGCTGAAGAAAACTGGCAACCTGTCAACTGGCTGAAACCTATAATACAAGTAGTTGAATGCGTTGATTTTCGTCATCTCTCAAACTCAAGCATCCATTCAGAAGCGGATTCCTTAATCTTCAAACTGCAAAATCTGGAGTATGTACCAGAAGATAATTCGACACGGCCCAATATTCTATTCGAACTGATCAAATACGAGTATATACGCAATAGTACAATAGAACGCTTTATGAATCCATCGAAATCTTTTCCGATCGACCAGAGTTACATCAATTTGGCCATAGTAGAAACCAAAGAGCAGCAAGAAAAAGAAAAAAGACTTTGTACACGTAATCACAACGATGCAATTATGGGTACGTTTGAAGATATTTATAGCACAAAGACTCCGATAGATGTCAAAGATATTTTCAAAACATGCAAAGATCAGACCAGAAGGGTACTAGTCTTCGGTCGAGCGGGAATTGGAAAGTCAACATTTTGTCGATATGTTGCCTACCAATGGGCAACTGGTGTAATTTGGTCAGAATATGAACTAGTTGTGCTTGTGCCATTACGATCTTTAACAGAACAAGGGTATCAATCTGGTGTCGACTATTACCTCGTCGATATTTTGAAAAAGCAATATTCTTTCAGCCCGCCTCTATCAGACAAAGCTGAAAAGCTTTTGGAAGAACAGATTCATACAAGCCCCATTCTTTGGCTCCTCGATGGCTA